TTAAAAAAAAAAAAAAAAGATGAGGATAGATGAGTTGAGAAATGGAAGGAAGAACTGGAGTAATTTGAAAGTTTGGTGTCCTGGAAAGGTGTCCTAAATGGGGCACTGGGCATCAAGAAGGTAGCCAAGGGAGGACCTTGAAATTGGAGAGATGAGGTTACAGGGAGGTGGGAGGGAGAGGAAGGATTCGCCTGGGTGGAGGTAGATGGGTTCCAGGGCCTCCCTTCAGGCAGTGGTGTGGGTGGAACTTGAGTACTCACCTGCATCCGCAAGGCGCTGGGTAACAGGGTTTGGAACCTCTGTGAGAACTCTTCAAACGTGTAGCGGATGGGGAAGCCTGACTTGCGGATCTGCACAGTCTCCATCATGCCTGAGTAGCGCAGTTGCTGGATGCATAACTCCCGGTCAAAGAGCTTTGTGCAGGGCAGGGAAAGAAGACTGTTGAGGAGGTAGGAAGCCCACCTCTCCCTGCACATGGTCACTTGCCCAATGACTCATTAAATTATCCTCAAAATACAAGTAGAACTAAATGCATGCTTGACTTAAGCTAAATTGTATTTTGAAGGGATACAACTGGTTAAAGTAGCACTCCCAAGGAGATACAAGTTGACAATATAGAAACTATGACACACAGGAATATGAAGTGACTCCATCATTCTCAAGATAAATGTATCTTGAAGACTAAGTATAAAAGTGATCTGTATAGTCTCTGTTTAAATTGTATTTTTACACTCCCGAAGCAATTATTCCAAAGGACATTTCTTCTTCCAGGGCCATACACGGGTTAACCTTGGGTAGATAATTAGCTTCAATTTGCTGAGCATTTCCTATGGGTCAGGTTTTTCTCATTTAATCTTTGCAACAGTCATATGTGGTAGGTATAATTAGCTTCATTTAAGGCGAGTACCAGAGGCTTAGTATCAATAGCTCCTAAGTAGCTAAGCCAGAATTCAAACACCAAGACTGCCTACATGTCCCCATATTATGTATCCACTGAACCTGGGATTCAGCTGTGCTCCCTTTCACCCTTCAGGGCTTGCTGAGTCTATAAACCTCAGGGCCAAACACAGCTCTGTGGTATGAACTCAGCAAGCACAGAGTGAATCTTAAAATGTGCTCATTATTGTTGTTGTTAGGTGCCATTGAGTTGGTTCTGACTCATATCAACCTTATGCACAAAAGAACGAAACACTTCATGGTCCCGTGCCATCTTCACAATTGTTGTGTTTGAGTCTATTGTTGCTGCTACTGTGTCAACCTGTCTCGTTGGGTTCTTCCTCATTTACACTGACCCACTAATTTATCAATCATGATGTCCTTCACCAGGGACTGATCCCTCTTGACAACATGTTCAATGTATGAGAGACAAAAATCTCACTATCATTGCTTATAAGGAGCAATATGGCTGTACTTATTTCAAGACAAATTTATTTGTTCTTCTGGCAGTTCATGGCACTTTTAATAGTTTCTTCAACACCATAACTCCAGTGCATCAATTCTTCTACGGTCTTCCTTATTCATTGTCCAACTTTCACATGCATATGAGACAATTGAAAATACCATAGTTTGGGTCAGGTGCACCACAGTCTTCAAATGGACATCTTTGCTATTGAGCACTTTAGAGGTCTTTTGTAGAAAATTTGCCTAATGTAATATAGCATTTGATTTCTTCACTACTGCTTCCATGAGCACTGATTGTGGATCCAAGCAAAATGTAGCCTTGGACAACTTCAATCTTTCTCCACTCATCATGATGTTATTTGTGGGGCCATTTGTGAGGATTTTCATTTTCTTTAATATTGAGGTGAAATCCATACTGAAGGCTGCAGCCTTTGATATTTATCAGTAAATATTTCAAATCCTCTTTGCTTCCAGAAAGCAAGACTGTGTCATCTGCATATGACAGGTTATTAATGAGTCTTCCTTCAATCCTGATGCCACATTCTTCTTCATATAATCCAGCTTCTCAGATTGTTTGCTCAGCATACAGATTAAATAAATACGGTGAAAGGATAAAACCCTGGAACACACCTTTCTTTCCTGATTTTAAACCATTCACTATCCTCTTGTTCTGTTTCAATGACTGTATCTTGGTCTAAGTATAGGTTCCTCATGAACACAATTCAGTGTTCTGAAATATCCCTTTTTTTGTAACGTTTTTCATAGTTTGCTATGATACACACAGTTGAATGCCTTTGCAGAGTCAACAAAACACAAATAAACATCTTTCTGGTGTGGTGCAGAAGGATAAGTACTGGACTATTAACCACAAGGTCAGTGGTTCAAAGCCACCAGCCATTCCTCGGAATCCTATACAGGGTCATTGTGAGTTGGAGCAGACTCAACAGCATGCAACAACAACAAAAACAAATATCTTTCTGGTATTCTCTGTTTTCAGTCAGGAGCCATCTGATATCAGCAATGATATATCTAGTTTCATGACTTCTTCTGAATCCAGCTTGAGTTTTTGGCAGCTCTCTCTTGATGTATTGCTGTAACCAGTTAAAAATATTTATCAGCTAAATTTTAGTTGCATGTGATATTAATGATATTGTTCAATGATTTCCACATTACATTAGGTCACCTTCCTTTGGAATGGATACAAATATGGATCTCTTCCTATTGCTTGGCCACATAGCTGTTTTCCAGATTTCTTGGCATAGACAAGTGAGTGCCTCTAGCAACAGTTTGTTTAAATACTTCAATTTGTATTCCATCAATTCTGGAACCTTGTTTTTTTGCCAATGCTTTCCATGTGTTTTGGACTTCTCCTTTCAATATCATTGGTTCTTGATCATATAGTACCTTTTGAAAGTATTGAACATCAACCAATTATTTTTGACAGAGTGACTGAGTATTCCTTGCATTTTCTTTTGATGTTTTTTGCATCATTCAATATTTTACCTATGTTATTTTTGTTGTTATTTGCCGTGGAGTCAGTTCCGACTCATAGCAACCCTGTACAGGGTTTCCCAGGTTATAAATCTTTACAGGAGCAGAAAGCCTCATCTTTCTCCGGTGGAACCACTGGTAGTTTTAAACTGCTGACCCTGAGGTTAGCAGCCCGATTCATAACCACTCTGCTACCAGAGTATCCTTCAATATTGCAACCAAGTCTTGAATATTTTCTTCAGTTCTTTCAGCCTGAGAAATGCTTAGTGTGAGCTTCCCTTTTGGTTTTCTGACTCCAGGTCTTTGCACATTTCATTATAATACTTGCCGCTAACATATACCCAACTCTCACCCAACCCTTGCAGGCCTCATTTATACTTTACAGGTGAGACAACTGAGGCTCAGAGAAGTGAAACACCTATCAAGAATACACAGTAGTGAATGGCAGGACTGGGAGAACTTGACTGAATCCAATAACCTGAAAGTCACTAACCTGTGAATGACTTAGACTGGTCCTCAGTGTCCTCGTCTGTAGAATGGGAGCAGCTAACAGCTCTAAAACCTCAAATGTCCTCATCTACATAATGGTGGTGGTGGTGATATGCTGTGGAGTCGGAACCGACTCATAGTGACCCTGTACAGGGTTTCTGAGGCTGTAAATCCTTTGGGAGCAGAAAGCCTCCTCTTTCTCTCGTGGAACAGCTGGTAGTTTTGAACTGCCAACCTTGAGGTTAGCAGCCTGATTCGTAACCACTACGCTACCAGAGCTCCTTCATCTACATAATAGGGGCAGGCAACAAACAGTTCTAAAGCCTGAGTGTGTTCATCTATGAAATGGGGGCAGGTAACAGCTCCCTAGTAAAGGAAGCAAGCTCAATCCCAGATTCTGTCAGAATTGCACAATAGATACCCTTGGACCCTACTCTATGTCCCCAGTACCCCCTCCCATATTCTCATTACCATTGGTTTCTTGTACTCATTGGGTTTGATGCAGCGAATAAAGTAGGGCTGGCAGATAGACAGGATTTTCATCAGTTGGTCCAGGGATTTCTTGAACTGGCCTGCCAGGGTGGAAGGCCGCTTGGTGGAGTCTGCAGACTGTTGGAAGAAGCGTGGGCACAGTGTAGCAGCTGGGGAGCCTAGAAACACAGCTGACTTGCACCCAGAGAGAGCAAATGCCAAGGCCCATAGACCTGGGAGTGGGGAATACTATTCACTCATTTGTTCATCCACCCACCACATGCTTCTCAAGCACCTATGTATGCAGCCCCTGAGCTGGGTACTGGGAGACCTTGAGGTGAGTAAGATGTGCAAGGCATCCTGACTAAAGGTGGGGTCCCCAAAATGGGGTGAAAAGAGAATGTAAGAACCTGGCAATCTGCTCTTATACACATTTCAGCCTAGGAAACCCTATAGGACGGTCCTGTCAGACAGGGTTGCTGTGAGTTGTAATCAACTCTACAGTACAACAATAAATATGTGGATTCCCTGGATGGCACAAATGGTTAATCACTTTACAACTAACCAAAATGTTAGTGATTAAAATCCACACAAAGGCTCCTGGGAAGATGAGCCTGTTGATCTGCTTCTGAAAGGTCACAGCCTTGAAAATGCTATGGAGCACTTCTACTTTGCACACATGGGATCATCATGAGTCAGAATTGATTTGATGGCAACCATCTATGCCAATACATGTATATAGTTTAAAAATAAAAGTGTCAAAGTTTTTAAAAAGAAATTTTTAAAATTAAAAAAAAAAAAAAAAAAAAAAAAAAAAAAAAAAAAAAAAGAATTTTAAAAAAAGAAAAGGCCCAAATCCTCTGTAATACTGATTGCAAGAAATGCTCCTTGATCAAGCCTGTCCAAGGGCAAATGGATTTGGGAGGAGGTATACACAGTCAAGTTATATTAACCCTGAAACACAGGTCTTGTGTTTCAAGACCTTGCTAAGGACAGGATGCCTTGCTGCACTTTACAGTAATAATGCACAGTATTTCCTCCATGTGGTAGTATAAGAATGGTGCGTCACAATCACTGGCACCATACTCAGTGAAAGATGACCTCTTAGAGTTTCACAATGAACTCACATCTTCAAGGCCTGAGATGCCCAAGGTAAAGAAACCTTCATAACTTTACTTGTTCTTTCTAAAACTCATTTGATCCAGGGCTTCCTCTCCACTTGTGAACTCATCATCCTTGAACCATTCCAGGGACCTGCTCTAAGCAACCCAAAGGGCCAAGACAAGGTGCAAGATGTATGCATGTGAGCCCATCTGTCCCCCCTTTCTCCTCTTCTCCACACTCAGGATGCCAAATCTAGCTTGCCGGATACAGAATCCCATCCAGCCCACAGTCCTAGAGTCCTGCTCTGTGTGAGGCTGTGCTGCAGGCAGAGCACATAGGGCTTTGACACTCCCACAAAAGTGGGGATGGGCATGAAATTGTGGCAAGTGTTGAAAGCACTGCACAGAGGGGAGACCCTTGCCTGCATCTCAACTCCTGAGCTGTTTTGCCTGTCCCCTCTCTTCATTTGGGAATTGGGGGTTTCTCATCAGGTAATTCACTGGCTCTACAGGCACAGTCTCTAGTAAGAGGTAGGTAATGACAGGAAATCCTAGACTGCCCTGAGGAGTACCAGGAATGTTTGCCACCTCCCTGCTCAGTAGTTTTTCCAGTCCACTGCCACAACATACACTCATACACACACACACTCACTCTCACAACATACCTATTCACACTTATGCACACACATACACAGTCATATACAGTTTCACATACACCCCAACATAGAAATGTAAAAAAACAATATTAATAAAAGAAGGCATGCCTTCACAAGATAGACCACACACTCAGAAACAGGTACATCCATGTCCCTGTGCCCTTGTAGCTGCCCATGCAGTAATAGCAACACCTCTCCTCTATTTCCATTCTCTTCTTGCCCTAACCCAGAAATCAATACCATGGGGAATGGGTCTTCCTTGGCCACACCTGTCTGACCCCATGCCCAGAAGGCAGCTGGAAGGGTGCCCACCTTGAAGAGTTGGCCACTGGTCTTGACCTGGAAGATGGTCCCATGGCCCAGCTTTGTCTCTATAGCCTTCAGCTTGAAGATCTCCTTTAAGAACTTGTTTTTGGAGGAGTGAACCAGGGTGAGGATATCTGTGCTCAGCATGTCTCGATTCTTCTCCAGGAAGCCTAGGGGAAAACAGAGCCCCACTCCCATCCAACTCAGCCATCACCTTGTCACTGGGCTCCTGCAGAGAAGGGAGCTGATCATATCTGGGTGCCTCAGGAATCTCACACACAATGGGTTCCACAGGAAGTCAGCCTCCTGTGCTCTCTCCCAGTCTCTGTCACTGGGGCCACATCCACTCACATCACCTCACCCACTACATCCACCCAGAATTATGTTTTGTCAGCTCTACCACCTGGACTTCCCTAAATCCATCCCAGCTCTCCAGGCCACTGGAATCTCCCTTGGTTGAGCTGCTGTTACTTCTTTTGCCCGAATTACTCTAATAGCTGCCTAATATCCTCTACCTCCAGCCTCTCTTTCCCACCCCCATTCCATGCCATTGTCAGCGGGACCCTCATGACACCGTATGTTGCTATGTTATCTCCTTGCTTAGCATACTTTTTCTATTCCTCACTGCCACAGTCTACTTTTGTCCTTATAGCCACCAAACTCATCACTGCCTACACTCCACCTAAACCAAATCACCTCCTTCTTGTTGTTGTTAAGTGTTATGCAGTCGGTTCCGACCTATAGCAACCCTGTTCAGGGTTTCTGAGAAATGGCTGGTGAACTTGAGTTGCCAACCATGTGGTTCAAACTTGCAGTCCAGTGTATTAACCCACAGCACAACTCCTAGAAGGTTACTTTTCCCTCACACCTCCAGGCCTCCACCCAAGGAGGCCTCCTGCCCTTTCCTCTTTCATCCACATGGGCCAATTCCTACTTGTTCTTGACAGTTCAAACCCACCAGTCATCCTAAGAAGCTACCCAGACTTTACAGGGTAAGGGAGGTTCCCTCTGGGACCTTTCCATGCTTGCCATTCCCACACCCTTCAGTGATGGTCTCATTGCTTGTTTCCCTTTGCCAGTGGATAGGACATTATCTGGTCACATGGACTGTGGCTACTCAGGCCCAGAGGATGCACAAAATAGAGTGACTCCACCCCTGACATGTACTTAGTCCCAGCCATTCTCATCACTGCAAGATACAGTCAGAAATCAATTGTTGAGACAGCAGGTAATTTATTGATTGAAGGGGCAATCTCAATTTTATGGCAGTGAGATTGCTGAGGAAAGAAAGAGGAAAAGACTGTGAAGAGACCCTGTCCCTTTCCTTCTGCCACAATTCCTCTTTTACCTGCTCCTGAAACCTGGCATCCTAGTGCTGTCTCCAGACTGGACAGGGAGGCATGACCCTGTGCCTACAGGGGTCAATGGGGGGGGGGCAATGTGTGTCCTTCTACAGGTGGCACTCAGCTGAGGACTTGCCCAATCCATGTGGAAAAGTACCACTTTAAAACTCTCCCTCCACTTTGCCCCTTTTCCACTTCTGTGGAACCAAGAAGGCACTTGGCTAGGTACTGGACTGCAAACCTCAAGGTCAGCAGTTCAAACCCACCAGTCACCTCTCAGGAGAAAGATGAGGCTTTCTGCTTCTGTAAGGATTTTTAGCCTCAGAAACTCTATACAGAGTCACTATATGTGGGAATTGACTTGATGATAGTGCATTTGGCTCTCTGAAGAGACCCTGGGTGTCTAACACATGCTTAGTGGCTAACTGAAAGATTGAAAGTTTGAGTTAACCAAGAGGGACCTCAGAAGAAAGACTTGGAGATCTACTTCCATAAATCAGACTTTGAAAATCTTATGGAACACAAGTCTGCTCTGACACACAGGGGTCACCATGAGTCAGGGTGGACTTGATGGGAACTGGTACCTTGCAGTTAAGCACTCTGCACACACCTGCATGGCCTGGTATGAGCCAGAGAAGATCAAGTCAAGGGTGGGAGTGGAGAAGGAAGCCTGGTTCTTCCCTCTTTGCCTGCAGGTATTTGCAAGGGGAAGCAGTGCTTAGGTGAGGGAATTGTACCTGGTGCTCCAAGGGAGGCCATACAAACCTCATGGAATGAGGAGTAACAGGGAATGGGTGTGCACAGAAAGGCTGACAGGCTGCCTGCAAGGGCTACATTGAGAAGGATGATGGGCAAACACTGGAGTGGTGCCTGTCCCTCTTTGGTGCTTAGGTATAGTCTCCTCACCCTGGGACAGGGGAGCTCCTTAAATGTATTGAGACATACAGAGAAAGAGAGGATGGTTGGGCACCTCTAGGATCAATCAAATAATAGGTAGAGCAAGTAAAGCTTAGTTCATTAGCAAAGCAGGTGTTATGGGTTGAATTGTGTCCCCACAAATATATACTCAAGTCCTAACCTCAGGTACCAATGAATATGACCTTGTTTAGAAACAGAGTCTTCAAATATGCTATCAACTAAGTTAACATGAGTTCATACTAGAGTAGGATAGGTCAAGACCAGTCTGAGTGGTTTCTTTGTAAAAGAGAAAAGTCACAGAGAGGCAGACAGAAGGATGCAGCTACAAGCCAGAGAACACCTGTGGTTACTAAGCACTGAAACAGATAAGAAAGAATTTCTCCTAGAGCTTTAGTTGGCACCTTAAATTCAGACTTCCAGTCCCTTGAATTGTAAGAAAATATATTTTTGCTCTTATAAACCACCTGTTTATAGATTTTGTTACAGCAGCCCTAGGAAATTAATACAGGGTACCAAAAATGAAAATCGGAAGGTTTAATTTCCAGAATTTTACAATATGAAAAATTTGAAACCAACTATCTCAATCCCAGCATACATTTAAATTTCATTTCATGAAATTTCAACTCAAATTGTGCATAGTGGTTGGGGAATAGGCTGTGTCTTCTTTGTGTTTGGGGATCCCAGAGATGGACTAGGGCTCTGGTCTCTACAAAACCTCCAAAGTCATGATCTAAAAGGGGTGGAGTCTATGAGGGGTTGCCCATCTCATCATTTGTCCAACAGAGATGATCCCCTGACCTGCTATCACCTCTGCTATGGAAAAAATGCCAGACCTTCCTGCTGCTCTGTTTCTCCAACTGAAAAGTATATATGTCCCCATTGGCATGTCTTCAGTTAAGCAGACAGAGCCCATCTTCAGGTCTCCACATAAACTACAGGTCGTGGAGCTCTGGCTTCCTCATTTTCTTGACTTTAGCCACACACACTTGGCACTCCACTTTCCCATATTTTCTAATCACACCAGTAGGTTGACAACCCCAGGTCTTTATTTCTCTAACCAAAATGATGTCTGACCCTATCTCACACTGATACAAAAATTAACTCAAAATAGTTCAAAGATCTAAATGTTAAGAGCCAAATGACAAAACTCTTAGATGAAAGCATAGGGGTAAATCTTCATGATCTTGAATTTGGCAGTTGTACAAGCAACAAAATAAAAAAAATAGATAAATTGGACTGCATCAAAATAAAAAATTTTGTGTTTCAAAGATCACATTAAGAAAGTAAAAAGACAATCCTCAGAATGGTAGAACATATTTACAAATCACATATCTGATAAGAAACTCTTATCCAGAATATATAAATAACCCATAAGTCAATATTAAAAAGACAAATAATCCAAATAAAACATTGACAAAACATTTGAATAGATATTTCTCCAAGGAAGATCCACAAGTGTGAAATTAGCACATGAAAAAATGCTAAACATTTTTAGTCATCAGGGAAATACAAATCAAAACCACAATGAAATTTCACTTCATACCCATTTGGATGACTATAATAGAAAAAATAAAAAAAACTGTTGGTGAGGATGAGGAGAAACTGTTGGTCAGAATTTAAAATAGAGCAGCCTCTTTGGAACCAAAAGTTAGAAACAAACTTTTAAATAGATTGTCAGTACCTCATTAAATTAATCCTTGAGGCAGAGTCATCATATAACTCAGCCATTCAACTTCTATGTACAAATATATGCCCAAAAGAAATTGAAAATGTACATCCTCAAAAAAACTTGTATCTGAATGTTCATGGTAGCATTTTTTCATAATAGACAGAAAATGGGAAAAAATGTCCATCAACAGATGCATGAATAATAATATATGGTATGGGATACAAAGGGATATTATTCTGCAATGTTGTTGTTGCTGAGTGCCGTTGAGTCAGTTCCAACCATAGCGACCCTGTATAGGTTTTCCAAGGAGTGGCTGGTGAGCTTGAATCAACGACCATGTGGTTCAAATCTACCTTGCATTCCAGTGCATTAACCCACAGTGCCACACCAGAAAGGAACAAATATTGATACATGTTGCTGTTGTTGTTGTTGTTATGTCCCGTGGAGTCGGTTCCAACTCATAGTGTCCCTGTACAGGGTTTCCAAGGCTATAAAGCTTTACGGGAGCAGAAAGCCTCATCTTTTTCCTGCGGAACAGCTGGTAGCTTCGAACTGCTGACCCTGAGGTTCACAGCCCGATTCGTAACCACTACACTACCAGAACTCCTTATTGATACATAGATGAACCTTAAAAACATCATGCTAAGTGAAAGAAGCCATATATGATTCAATTTATATAAAACATCCAGAATAGGCAAATTCATAGAAACAGAAAGTAGATGAGTGGCTGCCTAGGACTGGGGAGGAGTCCTGGTGTGGTGCTGTAGGATAAGTACTGAACTCTAACCACAACATTGGCAATTCAAACCCACCAGCTGCTCCTTGGAAACACCATACAGGGTCTCTGTGAGTTGGAAGTAACAACAATGAGGGCTGGGGAGAATTGGGATGAATGAGGAGTAATGAAAGTGTTTCCTTTTGGGGTAATGAAAATTCCAAAACGGATCATGGTAATGGTGACTATTGTAAAAAAACCAACAACACATTGAATTACATAATTTAAATAGTTAATTACATTGTTCTTGTGTTGTTAAGTGCTGTCAAGTCAGTTCCAACTCATAGCAATCCTGTATAGGGTTTCCAAGGAGCAGCTGGTTGGTGAGTTTGAGTCACTGACCTTGAGGTTCAAACTGATCTTGCAGTTCAGTGCTTTATCCTATAGTGCCACATCAGGACTCCATAGCATGTGAATTATATCTCAATAAAATGGTTACTCCCTTCTCTGCCAAAAAACCCTGTCTAAACCATTCCACTCCCTTTCTCCAGTAAAAGCCATTCTAACCACCCCTGGGTTCCATTGCTAGATCTGAAAGATAACATCATCCCCTAGCTTCCTTTCCCTGATCTCCCTGAATAGCTCTTGATTTGGAAGGGGCTGTGAAAAGAACTGCACTCACCTTCTGTCTTATAATACACCTCACCAGCAAAATGAGCAATGCCAAATCGGTTATCGTGGATGGTCTTGGGTTGCAGGAAGGCCTTGTTATGGGCATGGACGTTCTTCAATTTCTGCAACATGGTGATATCTGTCCCCTGAAAGAACCCAGATGCCCAAGGGGGCTGAGATCCCAGTGTGGCATGGGTAGTAGGTAAAGGTGTGCAATCATAGTGCTCAGGAGCCTCCTTTCAGGGGCAAAGCAAACTGGACTCTGAATTACTGAGGACCTCTATGTGGACAGAAAACACACCCAAGAGGGACTTGTCGTGGTAAGTGAGGGCAGAGCCAGGAGCAGAAACCATCAAATCTACTGATCTCCACCACTGATGCTTTCTGCCCCACCCTTTCCTGCAATTGTCCATCAACCCTAGCCCTCTGTTTCTTCCTTCAACAGAACTCTTGCTGACTGTATCTGGAAGCAGTGACCACAGGCAGAGGGGGCACCATTAAAATAACCCCAGGGTCCACGGGGCAGTGACAGTGGCCAGGCCAGTATCACAGGTGGAGTGGCTGCAGGAAATGCTGCCAAGGCAGTGGAGTTGCTAAGGTTGTTGGTATTACTCCTTACCCAGTGTGGTCACTCATCACCTTGTCAGGGTAAGGGAGGGTGGGTGGAAGTGCCTGCCATTGGGCTAAAAGGAGAGGTTCTACCTTGGCTAATGGGAGAGGTGAAGAGCTGCAGAGCCCCATGGGGTGGGACAGCAAGAAGGCAGGTCTGTTCTACTCACTAGAGGGGCGTTTACCAGCCTGCCCATCCACCAGAGTATGACACCAACCCTAATGATGCCATTGTTTGGGATCCCCATCTTCTCATGATCATGTAAAGACACTAGAGGATGCAGATGAAAGTGCTTCCTTCCCTTGTACCTTCTGTAGCCCTCAGCCCCATGGTGCTTAAAAGTCCTCTTTTGGAGTGGTTCTTGAATTTAAATAATCAAGTACTAGACTGACAGGTTTCTAATGATAGGACTTCATAAAATAAGTGGTCATTTTGATAAACGGTGGGAGCAAACATGAGCCAGGAAGGGCTTCCTGTGAGAAGTGGGCCTATGTCAGGCCTAAAGGGAGAGGAAGATCTGACTGGGCTGAGGCTGGTCTGCTAGTTCCTGGCAAAGGTCTCAGCAATAAGGCATAAGTAGAATACCCCAGTGGAGTTTCCCAGCAATGAAGAAGATTGATAAGCAGGAGTCTCCACCCAAGGATTGTCAGTCCAGGAAATACCTGTGGGAAGCGGCTCTCTTCGTCCAAAAGGGAGATAATGCTCATGGGTTTGAGAACCAACAGATCCAGGGTGTTCTGGTTATCAGTGTAGTGAATGTAGTTCCAGGCAATGTTCTCTATGTGGTACTCCTCTTGCTCCATGGTGAAAACGTGATGCACAAAGAACTGCTGCAGGTGCTCATTGGCCAAGTTGATGCAGAACTGCTCAAAGCTGTGAAAGTAATTCCACCCACCCAGGGATGGGGCAGGATTAGTTTCATCCCTGTTCCAGCTGATAGGAGGTATGGGGTCACCAGTCATTTGCACACAGCCACACACGTAGCTATCTAAGAAGTCACATCCCTGTGCACATGCAGACCCCATGCACAAATAGACACATCACTACTCTGCACACCCCCCATCCCACCACTTTTTTTCCCCTCTGTTGCCATCACCTGCAAACAAACTAGGAGAAATGAGAAGGTTCAACATATCATCAATTCCCTGCCTTTGACTTCTTCTGCCAGGCTTGGCTAATCCTTGTTGGGACTGAGAATGCACAGGCATCCCCAGCTCATGAGCATTGGTCTTAGTAGTGACAAGCTTCTGGAACCCAGTGCTGACTGACAAATCTCAGCCCTACTGCACTAAGACCCACCTCTTACCCCAGCCCCCCACTAATCATTCAACCCGGTTTCCTTCCTCAGAAAATGATATCTCTACCCAACATCTCCTCCTCATGTCAGAAACATAGGAGTCAAGTGCAACATATATTCCCCAATTGCAATAAATTGCCAAAGTCTTGTTCATAAATTGCCAAAGTCTCTCCAGCAGAGCACCTGACCCATTCACTACTTTGAATTCCACTACCATTGACTCCTGGCGTGGCACTCTAAGATCAGCACTGGATTGTGAACCACAGAGTTGACAGTTCAAACCCACCAGGTGCTCCTTGGAAACCCTATAAAGGTTGTTATGAGTAGGAAACACTCAATGGCACCTAACAACAATAACAACCACTAACTTAGTCTGTTGTTGTCAAGTGCCATCAAGTCGATAGCAACCCTGTACAGGGTTTCCAAGGAGCATCTGGTGAGCTTGAACCACCCACCTTGCAGTTCAAACAGCTTTGCAGTCTGGCACATTAACCCACAGTGCCACACCAGGACTCCTAGTGATTCACTATTTACCCAGCACAGCAATGGCCTCCTAGTAGTTCTTCTGCCTCCAGCTTCATTCCTCAAATCATTCTTCTCAGAGCCACTAGAGGAAGCTTTCTGAAATGCAAATCCCATCAGCCCATTCTGCTGCTTAAATCTTCCTGGGGCTTCCTGTTCTTTATGATATCAAGTCAAACAGTGAATGCCCCTAGAGTGGGTCCCTGCCCACCTCTAGAGACTTAGCCATGGCCACTCTTTGTCACTTCCTATTTCTGAACCGTCATATAGTTGGTGCCTGTCTCTTTCTCCTCATTGCCCAGCCACTCCTACTCCTATCTGGGTCTCACTTGGATAGCTCTTCCTTAGGATGCTAGCTCTAACATTTATGCAAAATCATAACATGTATCATTCTGAAGACTGATTTCAACTTGTTACCCTGATAGGTCAGAAAGATGTCCAGTATGTTCATGCATACCTACCTATACACAGAGATGACATGACAAAATGAGGGGCCAGGCATCCTCAAAGCACACCACCTTCACCAGACCCCACCACAAACCTCAGTAGTAGTCCCTGATTGCTGGTGCCTGATCACCTATGGACAGACCTGCAGACAGAGCCTCCAGAGCTCACCACCCATCCACCACTAAGTGTTCAGAATTGTGCTTGGACTGCTCCCCTGCCCTCTCAGAGCCAGGAACTAAGGATCTGAATCACATTGAAGTTGCTGTGCCTCAGGGTCTACCACATCATGTTTAGTCCTGTCAGTCCTGCATCCTCTCACCTGACTTCCAGTGAGCAAGCCTCAACCCTTCCTGCCCCACTGATCCCAAGGTGCCTGCATTTGGAATGGCTGTGTTTTGGCAATCCTGTCCTTTCAATGGGGCTTTCATCAGAAATCACTCCCATGGCAGGCTTCACTTGAAGATAGGGGCTTGAATAGGACATGTCATAGTTGGGTATCAATTCAGATTCTGAGGCCTCCGTTTCTTGGATACAGTACCCTATGAAACCTCCTTAGATAGATTCAGAATACCCAGCTAAACTAGAATGAATCTGGGATGTCGCTTGCTTGCTTGTCTCACAGGTGCTCATTTTTCTCACTTTCTGACCACCTCTTGTCATTTAATAAAGCATCACCTGTCCTGATTTACTTCTATTGCCTGGCTCCCTGCTCATCACACTTGTCAATCCCCTCTCTCACCTACAACCTTCATCACAGTCACAATCAGGTACCAATTTTTGGATCTGCCTCCCAGATAATTTTTCTGTATCAAGTCTGGTGTGTGGGGACACTGAAACACTGAATGAGAGGGGTCTGGTCTTGCTTTCACCAAAAAAGAGACAGCCATTGTCATCAGGTCAATTTACCTCCTTCAAATTCATAAGTTAGTGGTGGTCCACAAATGCCCCTAGTTTTCATTTCATTACCTATTATGTTATCTCATCCAAAGATGCAGGTGAACCAATGTTATTATATTTTCATTTTCACCTTAACCCTCATTTAATAATTTGTTTTGGCTCAAGAAAAGAGGACATGGCTCAAGAAGGGAGACAAATGTCAGACCACTGCCTGGTTCTTGAGGAGGGCTATTAGCCATGTGGTTATTAGCCATACTGCACACTGGCCACCTCCCAGCAGAAAGACTTTGTCCTCTCAACAGTGGTTGCCCCTGGCACCTGTGAATGGAAGACAGAGGTCCTCTTCTCAGACTAGTGAGACTGGGAACAGCTACTGTCCAGCTAGCCTGGCAAGAGAGAAGCTGAGATTTGCCTTCCATTTCTGGAGCAAGTAAACAGAAATCTTCATACCTGTTGCTCTGGAAATTTTCAAAGCCAAATATGTCCAGGAGGCCAACGGCCCTTCGTACATGCTTGGGGTCCTGGGTAGGTGGAGTAAAGATTGCAGCATTGATCTTCTTTACAACCCACAGGAAGAGGTGCCCATAGATGCCCTGGTAGACAGGAGATATAGGAGATAGCCTATGTGGGCTTTGAGCACAGGAGCAGGAAAGATGTCCATGTTTCCAAGCTCACCTGAAAAGCTGCAATGCAGACCCAACCTCACAGGCCCAACCTAGGGATATATTCCCTGCTTTAAAGATACTACACATCCATCAGTTTGCTATACTGTGGTAGTTTTAGTGTTGCCATGATTCTGGAAGTGATGCCACCATTATTTTCAATACCAGCAGGGTCACCCATGGTGACTAGGTTTCAGATGAGCTTCCAGATTAAGACAGACTAGGAAGAAAGAGACATGAACAATTTCTGGATATTTAGTCACTGAAAACTTTATGAATAGTAGTTGAACAATGTCAAATAGCACCAGAATATTGAATATTGAAACATGCTGATGAGTACCAGAATATTGTCAGATATAATGCTAGAAAATGAGCCTCTCAAGTTGGAAGGCACTCAAAATATGACTGGGGAAGAGCTATATCTCCTTAAAGTAGAGTTGACTGTGATGATGTGAATGGAGTAAAGCTTTTGAGACCTTCATTTGCTGATGGAGCACAACTCAAAATGAGAAAAAACAACTGTAAACTTCCATGAATAACTGGAACATAAAATGTACAAAGTATGAATCTAGGAAAATTGGAAGTTGTTAAAGTAAAATGAAACATGACAAACATTGATATCCTAGACAATAGTGAGCTGAAATGAACTGGTATTGGTCATTTTGAATCTGACAACCACACAATTGCCTATGCTGGGAATGAAAAAATTGAAGAGGAATGGCATAGCATTTATAATCAAAAAGAACATTTCAAGATCTATCTTGAAGTACAACACTGTCTGTGATAGGATAATATCCACATGCCTACAAGTAAGAACAATTAATACAAGAATAGTTAAAATGTACACACCAATCACTAAAGCCAGTGATGATGAAATTGAAGAATTCAACCAACTTCTTCAGTCTGAAATTAATCAAATATACAATCAAGACACATTCATTGACAATTACTGGTGATTGGAATGCAAAGGTTGGAAACAAAGAGGAAGGCTCAGCCAATTGTAGAATATGGCCTTCGTGACAGAAATGATGCTGGAGATCCCATGACAGAATTTTGCAAAACCAATGACTTCTTCACTGCAAATACCCTTTTATAAACACCATAAAAGACAACTATACACGTGGACCTCACCAGATGGAATATATAAAAATCACACTGATTACATCTGTGGAAAAAGATAGAGGAAAAGCTCCATCTCATCAACCAAAACAAAGCCAGGGGCATACTATGGAACAGACCATTAATTGCTTATATGCAAGTTCAGACTGAAGTGGAAAAAAATTAAAACAAGTCAGCCAGAGTCAAACTATGACCTTGAATATATCCTATCTGAATTTAGAGATCATCTCAAGAAGAGATTTGATGCATTAGAGACTAATGACCAAAAACCAGAAGAGTGGTGGGATGACATCAAGAATACCATACAGAAAGAAAGCAAAAGGTCATTAAGCAGACAAGAAAGAAGAAAAAGACCAAAATGGATGTTAGAAGAGACTCTGAAACTTACTTTCCAACATAGAAATGCCAAAGCAAAAGGAAGAAATGAGGAGGTAAAAGAACTGAATAGAAAATTGCAAAGGACAGCCCAAGAAGACAAAGTCAAATATTGTAATGAAATGGGCAAAGATATAGGGATTAGAAAACCAAAAGGGAAGAACATGCTCAGGATTTCTCTAACCAATGGAACTGAAGAAAAAATTCAAACCATGACTTGCAACATTAAAGGATTCTATGGGTAAAATATTGAATGATACAGAAAGCATCAAAAAAAGATGGAAAGAATACACAGAGCCACTATACTAAAAAGAAATTGTCATTGTTCATCCATTTCAAAAGGTAACATAATGATCAAGAGCTAATAATACTAAAGTAAGATATCCAAGGCACCCTGAATTCCAGAAATTGATGGAACACAAATTGAAATCTTTCAACAAATTGATGCAGCACTGGAGGCATTCACTCAACCTGACCAAATGATTGGAAAAGATCCATGTTTGTGTCCATTTCAAAGAGAGGTGACCCAACAGAATGTGGAAATCATCAGACAATATCATTAATATTGCATGCAGGATTTTGCTGAACATAACTCAAAAATGGCTGCAGCAGTACATTGACAGAGAACTACCAGAGGTTCAAGCAGATTCAGATGAGAACGTGGAATGAGAGACATAATTGCTGATAACAGATGGATTTTTGCTAAAAGCAGAGAATCCCAGAAAGATGTTTATCTGTGCTCTATTGACTGTGTAAAGACTTTAGATTGTGCAGATCATGACAAGCTATGGACAACATTGCAGAGAATGAGTATTCTGGAACACTTAATTGTGCTCATGAGGAACCTGTACATAGACTAAGAGGCAGTTGTTCAAAAAGAACAAGTGAACACTGAATGGTTTTAAATTATGCACCAGTATTTAAAACCAATATTTAAAATAAGTATTTTTTTCACCATACTTATTCAATCAATATATTGAGCAAATAATTTGAGAAGCTGAGCTCTATGAAGAAACACATGACATCAGGATTAGAGAAGACTTCAATCTGCATATAGTAGGAACAACCTACTATATGTACATGGTACAGCCTTGTTTGCTGAAAGCAAAGAGGACTTAAATTACTTACTGATGAGAACAAAGATCACAGCTTTTGGTATGGATTGTATGTCAACTTAAAGGAAACAAAAATCCTCATCACTGGACCAATAACTAACATCCAGATAAATGGAGAAAAGATAGAAGTTGTCAAAGACTTCATTTTGCTCAGATCAACCATCAACACTCATGGAAACAGAAGTCAAGAAATCAAATGATGTATTACATTAGGCAAATCGGTTGCACAAGACCTCTTTAAAGTGTTTAAGAGCAAAGATATCAGTTTGAGGACTAAGGTGCACCTGACCCAAGTCATGATATTTTCAATAACCTCATATGGATGTGAGAGTTGGACAGTGAATAAAAAAGACTGCAGAAGAATTAACATATTTGAGTTATGGTGTTGGAGGTGAATATTAGAAGAACCACGCACTGCCAAAGAACAAACAAATCTGCATTGGAAGAAGTACTGCTAGAATGCTCTTTAGAAGTCAGCATGGCCAGACTTCATCTCTTATATTTTGGACATGTTATCAGGAGAGACTAGTTCCTGAAGAAGGACATCTTGCTTGGTAAAGCAGAGGGTCAGTGAAAAAGAGAAAGACCTCCAATGAGATGTATTGGCACAGTAGCAGTGACAACAGGCTCAAGTGTAGCAGTTATTGTGAGGTTGTGTATAGGGTTAATATGGGTCACTGTCTACTCGATGGCACATAACAGCAACAACAATATGGAGACATGGCCACTGAATGCAATAGGTGATCTCACCCTAATCTACTTGGTAAATTAGAGATTTTCCCAGACATATCTGCTTCTAAAGTCTGTATTCTTTATTGTGCTCCACTAGGGAGGGGGCCTGGGCCATATTTAATAGACAATGCATGGAGGTCCAGGGGGCTGGAGAAGGGTTGAAGTATACTATACCTTGACAAAAGCGTCCCTCTGATCTGCAGCCTGGGCGATGTTCAGGGGCCTAGTGACAAATTCCCCGCGGATGTTGATGGAGTGCTTTGTCAGACAGTTGTGAAGTGCCTGGTGCTCCACCTGGGGACATAGGCAGTAGGCTGATCCCACACCTGGCAAGACTAGGGCCTGAGCCAGGAATTCCACCTACTTCTGTCATGTCTTGTTCCCTCTTTGGACTCAAGACCATTAGAGAGAGAGTTGGCCCATGACCATGCCTAGGACTCAGATGGGCTCAGTGTCTGGGTCCTGGTAGTGGTTGGGTTCAAGAGTCAGGAGAGATGCACAAACTGGGTGGAGGCCCTTAGCATGCTGCAGTAGTCTTTTGGGGCCAAGACAGGAATTGGCACTGCCAAACAGGTCTAGGGGAATGTGTCCTTGTGAGCTGACTCTGAGGAGACAGCTCTGGTCATGGATTGACATACAGGTATGTCCAAATGGGAACCACTTCCCTTGGAAGACAAAGGCTACAGGGGCAACAGGGTCTAGATAGATCAACCCTTTCCCACCACACAGGAAGACCAAGTTAGCCAAATCTAAGCCTTCAAAGAACCCTTGAACCTCATAAAGAAAGTTAACAAAATGTACCAACTGCGATAGCTTTTTTGCTCTTATGTTATTTTCCCACCAGAACTAATGTGTGGTGTGATGTGAGGTCATTACAATGTTCTTCCAAGTGCCTACCACACTTTCTATACATTTGGGTCCCACTGGTTTCTCTTATAATGTAGAGGCAACATCACTGGTCACAGGCTTATCAGCATATCCCACTCTCCCAGAGAAGCACAGCTTTGGGGGCAGGCCTGAGGAGGAAGGACAGGAATGCTTTGGTAAGAGGTACAAGGTCCAGAGTATGGAACCTTGGATTAGGTGCCAAGGTGGGGAAATCTTAGGGACTGGATGGATGGAGAGTTATGAGAAAGAAATGGAGCAATGAAAAGCAGGTAGAAAGGTAAGAACACAATACAGGGAGGGAAAGTTGACAAAAGCCCAAATTACCATTGCATGACTTTGTTATTATTGACTCACACACTGTCCCCACTGTGACCCAATTCCAGGCAACTGCAATATGCAAAAGGTGAGGGTGGAAACTATAACATGGGAGTTGGGCATGAGGCAGGAGTGGGGGCCCAGGAAGGAGTGGCAGTCTGTTGGTCCCAGCCCTAGGGCCCTCAAAGAGATGAAAGGTTAGCTACCTCTAGCAACTTCATCGCAATGGGAAAGGTAGGCGCCTCCATCACATCTGAAGAATCCAGGTTTTCAAAGACTGTGGCTACAAAGAGAAACAGCAATCCTGAGTGCCAAAGTGACTTGCAGTGAATGGGGGGGGGGGGGTCCCATCACCTCCCAGATCCTTAGCCCTGGAGACAAATGTCCCTGTGTATGAGACACTGTCTCTCCCAGGTTCCTCCCTTTTAGGGAACAAATGTCCCTAGTGACTATCAGTCATTAGCACCTTAGCTGTGAATTAACCCACTCTACTCTCATGAACCACAAGGTCAGCAGTTTGAAATTAGCAGCTGTTCTGTGGGAAAAAGATGAGGCTTTCTGCTCCCGTAAAGATTTACAGCCTCAGAAACCCGGTTACAGGGTCGCTATGAGTCAGAACCGACTCCACGGCACATAACCACCACCACCGCCGCCACTCTCTGTGAATAAGAAACTTGCTAGAAACCTGTGCATGCATTCATTCATCTAATGAAATGAAACAAGCTGAACACCTATTGTAGGATGGGCCCATCTCTAGACACAGGAAGTGAAGTGGTAGACAGAGGCCTCTTTTAATTCTTCTCTTTTCAACCTTTCACAAGTGTTCCGTCCTCGGTATTGTCCATACTCCCTTTCAAGTCAGCCCCTTTGCTCCATCCCATCACCGACATCATCTTACTTTAGACCACATTCTTCTCTTGCAATAGTCTCTAAGTTGGTCTCACTACTTCAAGTTTCTCCCCTTTGATCCAACTCTACCTTAGAACTCCAGACTGTGTGTGGGTCTTGGTTTTGTCTGTTTTCTTTTTTAAATGTTCAAAAATTATTAAATAAAGCATGCATATAGAAAAGTGTATGAAAAACAATGATAAAGTCAGCACCTGTATAATCATTCCAAAAACCAAACCCACTGCCATCAAGTTGATTCTAACTCATAGCGACTATGTATAGGGTTTCTGAGACTATAGATCTTTATGGGAGCAGACTACCTTATCTTTCTCGCATGGAGTGGGTGGTGGGTTTGAACTGCTGACCTTGCAGCTTGCAGCCATATGTTTAATCCACAGCACCAACAAAGCAAAATATGGAACTAATTCCAGAAGCACTTCATGTGCTCTTTCTGGCTAAGATCCTTCCTCTCCACAGCTACTTCCTGGACCTTTATAGAGATCTCTTCCTTGATTCATCCTTATTTTTTATTACCTACATATGAATCCTTAAACAAAATTGTTTCAAATTAGTCTATTGTTACATTAATGCAACACAACTAATCAGTATTCTTTTGTGGCTGATTTCATTGTCTCAACTTCATGTTTATACTACTCATCCATGTCCTGATGTCCTTTTCTTGTTGGCAATTATATGATCACTCTAGCTACAATTCACCTGGAAGGATTTTTCCTATATTCCTTGTGTGTGTGAAAATATACATAGTAAAATATGTATCAATTCAACAATTTCTATATGTACAATTCAGTGACATTGATTAGATTCTTCAAATTGTACCATGTTTCTTAAAATTCTTTCTCAAATTATTTCACCAACATTAATCTTTTCAAAATGATTTCTCCTCTAACCCTTCAAATTGCTGTTTTCAATTTGATCACATATAATTATTCTTAAAAATAGAGTACTCTAGACAAACATTCATAACTAATTAAGGTAACCTACTGTTTAGTGTACCAATGGCTTCCGGGGATAGTTTCAGTTCAAGATTTAAAGATTTCCTCATAGCAATAGCTAAATGGCTCCAGAGAGTCTGGATTCCATGAGTATTTAAAATTATTTCCCTTATTTCCTCCTTTGATCAGGATTCTTCCAAAGAATCTTGGATCAAAATGTTCAGTTATGATATCCAGACCCCATCCAGTCCTATTGCACTAAGGGCAAAGGAGACAGTTGTTCATTGAGGCAATTAAACATGTAGTCCTGTACTGCCAACAATTCTTGATACTCCTTGTTCTTCCTTGTTTCAAATTAATAGAGACCAATTGTACCTTGTATGGGCACTAAAATTTTGAAGACCTCCAGGCTCTACACAATGGTAGAATGTTGTTGTTATTGTTAAGTGCCATTGAGTCAGTTCTGGCTCATAGCTACCCTATATAGGGTTTCCAAGGAGTGGGTGGTGAGTTTGAACCAAGAAGTCTGCAGTTCAAACCAATCTTGTGGTTGAGTGCTTCTCTTACTGCACCACACACCAAGATAGAAGCACTAAAATCAATATTAGGCCAATTGAAAATGCCAAAACTATCATTCTGATGTGGCATAATTAGAAAAGTACAGAATTCTTTTGGGGAAGGGCTCTAGAGATGGAAACCCCACCTTCAGAAGCATATAACGATAGAGGAAACTTCAAGAAATAATAGCTTCACATTTTTATATTTTTGTTTAATAAACATTTTGTAGCAATACTTTTGTACGTAACCTTGCATGAGCCTTTACAATTTTTTTAAAGATTTTCTAATATTTTTGCTTATAGAAAAACTGACTTTAATTTCCTTGTCTAATATTTGTATAATTATAAGTCTATGAGAGTGAGCTTTTAAAACGTTGACTATGCCATGTTTTGTTTGACCCTTCAATGGCACTGAACTTTATAGGAGGGGTACCAAACTTGGATTTCATGAATCAGTAAGATGTCAAAAGAAATTTTAGGGATCACCAGAAGCTTATCAACTCTATTTTGTCAAGAAAGATTATCAGAAAAATCTCTATTATGTATTACCATTAAATAAGTTAATTTGATACATTATTAAATAAGATATTAACTAAAGTACATAAGATAAAAAACTTTCTAATACTAAATATTAGAAAAGTCATACTTTAGAAGAATTGACTCAATTAAAATCTTTTGAAAATCCATGGCATTGCCTTGATTTTTCCCATTTCTTTGTGATCCAATTAAGACTTTTTCTTGATCAGAGTTGTCAATGATCTGACATTTGGAAATTATTCGTCCTCAGGATAAAGGCCAGACTCCTAGGCATGTAATACAACACCTTCCAGATGTGTCCTTGTCTACTTCTTAAGCCTCATTGTTTAACACCATATATACCTCTAACTCCAGCTACATGACACATCTTGGATTTTCTTTTTTGTACATGTAATCTTCTATGCTTACAGAATCCTGCTCTCTCCTAGACTCTCCCCCCAATCCCTTTCATCTGCTGTTTTCTACTTATCTTAGTTCTCATGTCATTGATATACTGAAAAATCTAGGTGTACCCCCTGCCAAACATCTCCATGGTTACTGTATAAAAAACTTTCTATGCTTTTACTCTGAATCTTATTTATCTCTAAATTCCTGGCACCTAGCACAGGGCTAAGCATGTAGTGGTCAATGAGTATTTGCTAAGAGAGCATCAAGTTAAAGAAGAAGTCTGGATGGGAAGACCTCAGGGATTATGAACATGAAGGAGTTTCAGAAAGTTCATGGAAAAATGGAATTAAAAGTTAGAACTTTTTCCCATCAACTTTTTGAATCTCCTTTGTATGTGATATAGGAGTGTCTGCCTTCCTTTTGCATCCATTCAGACATTTCTAATCTTTCCTCTAAGCAGAGCTCATCTTTCATACAGCCACGCAAATGCATCTGATATTCTAATCTACAGACAATACTCATAACCAAATCTGGATCCACAGAAGCATTAGAGCTCACCATCCCATCCCCATGTACTAGCAACTCCATGCTCCCTGCCAACCCATCCGTGAGGACTTTCACCCTTCTTTTTTGGTTCTCACTCTGCTCTTTGGAGAACCCTCCTTCCTTCCCCTTCTAAATCTCCTCTTCCTGATGCTCTCCCTCACATCTGTGTGTAGGTGAATGACAGAACTTTGTAGAGTCTCAGTCTGGGGACCCAAACCAGTTGCCATCATGCCAATTCCTACTCATGATGACAACACATGTGTCAGAGTAGAACTGTGCTTGATAAGGTTTTCAGTGGCTAATTGTTTGGAAGTAGATCACTAGATTGTCTTTCTTTTGCAGCTCCTCTGGGTGAACCCAAACCTCCAACCTTTTGATGAGCTGAGCACATTAATTTCTCTACTCAGGGACTCCCCAAGTTGGTGGCAAAAGATCCAAATCATTGGCTTTTTCTCTTTTGGGTAAGACCTTGAACAGGTACAATCCTCTTCCCCAGGGCCTTGGTTTCCTCATGTGAACAAGGGCTTCTTGGATTACACAACCTCTCCCCATTCTGCTGTGAACCTCTAGAGACTGCCTTCTTCTCCTGCCCCAGGCTCACTACCCCACTTTCCTACCACAGGTGTTAGATCTGGGTGGAAGAAGAATTACCCATAAACTGTACGTTCCCCAGGTGGAGAATGGCTGCCAGCAGCTTGCTGAGGTCCCAGTTTTCGGAGTCAGAGAACATGAGGATCTTCATGGCCGAGCGGATGTGGGCATAGTCCTTGGCTTCATTGAGACCCTCACAGGAGTTGCAGTTTCCCTGCAGGATGAGGCATAGCTGCTTGTTGGGGACCTCCACATGGCCTCATGGGACAAATTTCAGTGTTCCCCAAGAGCTAAGAAAGTACTACTGCACACATTCCCTGCCCACATTCTCTTTCCACATACATATTCCTCCATCCAGTGGCAGTGAGCCAGAGCTGCCTCAGGACTCAGACAAACACCCCTTAAAAGCCAAGATGACCAGATTTCATCTCACATACTTCAGACATATTACTAGGAGGGACCAGTTCCTGGAAAAGGTCATCAGATTTGGTATAGTGGAAGGAGACCCCAATGAGGTGGATTGGCACAGTAGTATCAGCAATGGAAGCAAGCATAATAATCCTTGTGAGGCTGGTGCAGGACTGGGCAGTGATTTGCTCTGTTGTGCATAAGGTTGCTATGAGTCAGACCAACTAGATGACACCTAACAGCAAACAAGTTGTTTACTCTCGGTGACCAGAAGGGGGCTTCATTGAAGCTTAGAACATCTGTAAAAGTACTTCTAGAGATGGAACTATGATGTCTCAGACAAGATGCTAGACACAGCCACCAGCATTGTAACCCTGGTAATAGTGTGAACTTGGTCAAGAGATTGTTTTCTTCAGTTTTTCTCAGTTTCCCCATTTAAAAACACAACAGCATCATGCTTACTCTGCACAGAGGCTGTGAAGAATAGAGATAGTCTTGTACTGATAGATAATCATTACTGATTTATTTACATAACAGAAATTTGACCAGACCCACCACACACACACAATTGATACCCCTATGGTCTCAGGAGTGAGGAATTAACAATGAATAACTCAATTGGAACCTAGTACTTGAATACACCTGAGTGCCTGGGTCCCAGGGCTCAGAATGAGGATGAGGCTAGAATTTGAATGTGTTCTCCAACTCAAGGATGGACAGAACTGTGCCAGGGAGCTAAAGAGAGAGACTGAGAAAGGGAAGTTCTATGAACCTCCACTTTCATGCTGAAAAAAGCCCTAAAGTTCATGTTGTCCTTTACTGCATAACCTGGTACAAAGATGGGAGCTTGGGTAAGGAGCCACAAAGTCTCTATGGAATTGTCAGCATTGTCACAGTTTGCTGTGTGGGCCTGGGTCCATTATTTAACTTCCCTGAGCTTCCATTTGTCATTATCCTGAAAGTATTGGTGATACTCTCCTGACTCTAGAGAATATGGCAGGTTCAGTCAATAGCAAGTGCTGTCTAAGGCTTACTGTGTACCAGGCCCTATACTACTTGCTAGACATCCCAAAGTAGAAACCCTCAAATATATGCACCCAGGGAGGAAGCATATTGCCTTATCTGAGGTGTCGATGCTTATACCACAGGAAGGATGCCAGTTCACTCAGAAGTGGGGATGACCTCCTGGAGAAGGGGATGTAATAGGGTACAGGACAGTCTAGACGGAGAACAGTGTAAGCAAAGCTGTTGAGGAGGAGGTACCTGGGCTGACAGGAGCAGGCTGTATGAAGTGGGCCAGAGTTAGGGCAGAAGAGGTTGGCAGTTAAGATAATAGAAGTACCTAGAAACCATGCAAGGAGCTTAGATTTGTGGTCTCCAAGCAATGGGATTACTGAAGATTTTTAACCAAAGACATAATATAGTCAGATTGGCATTTTAGGAACATTATTTTGGCTGCAGAGGGAAAAGTAAATTAGAAGACTGGGAAACTCCTGCAATGGTCCAAGCAAGAGATAATAAAGGCCTTTGAGGTGGTTGACACAGAGGGCAGGAATTGTAAATGAAAGATACTCTAAGGCAGAATTCTTTCCTTCCTTCATTCATCAACAAGTCTGAACAGGGTGGCTACTTGTGCTGCATTATCCTAGGCAATGAGGCACAGTCAGGAATAAGAACAAGGTCCCTGTTTTCAGGGGGTTCTGCTTTTAGAAGCACCTATGGGAATGGGCAATCAGATGTGAAACTGAGGAATGGTGAGGAATGCAGATAACTTCTTGATGACCCACTCTGGTGACCTGAAGTTGGCCTGGGAGGACCAAAAGATTAGGTTTGTGGGGAAAAACAGTGGGCTCAGTTTGGGGCATGGAGGTAAAATTTAGTAGCAGAAAATAAGAAGCACCAGATGAGTGTAAATTTCTGTAACTTGATACCAAAGATAGAGGAATGGTGTGAGAATTTAGGGACCAATCTGGAGTTTGGGCTCTTCCATAACAGTAAGCTCAGGCTTGAACAAACACTGGCTTTTCTTCCCAAGGCTGGCTTCTCTTTCTCTGTTTCACTGAGAAGAGAGGCAAGAAGGGAGGAGGAGCAGGGTAGGTCTCACCATGGTCAGATAGTGGTACTCAGAGGGCATCCCCAGGCACAGCAGCTTCTTCTCCTCAGCACTCATCCCCATGAGCATGTAGTAGAAGATGTGGTAGTTCCGTTCTTCCTGGGCCTGGAGAGAGACAGTTCAGAGAAATGGTTGTAAGCAATTTCCTGAGGCTGTGAAGACTCAGACTAGCCTTAGGACAAGGCCTCCCCAGTGGTGCCCTGGCTCTGTCATTGACCCAGGAAGGGCTAGGCTGCTGTCATCCTGGGCCTCAAAGCCTGACTTATACAAACAACGCAGAGTCAAAGGCCTTGTTCCAAGCATGGACTTGCACTTACATGCTCCTCATAAACTGGAAGGCCCTGAACCCAGGTCACACATGAGTGAGTGATGGCAGTATGCAAACCAGGGTTCTCTGATTCCGAATCCTGTGTTCTTTACAATCTTTCATGGAGCTTTCCATTTTCTTTAGGAACTCATTAGAAATGTGATCCCCATAGGGTTATCTAAGTCTTCTACATTTCTTAAACACCATTAATTAATTCACTTCCGTTGTAGATGTTCTAACAATCCTAAAGTATATAGTATTAAAAGGTGACAGCTTCCCTTCACCCTGCCTTTCCCTTTTTCACATTCCCCTCCTCTACTTCTTCACAACACTTGATACATCAGTGTTTCCTTCCAGATACTTTAATGCACTTACTTATAGTATACTTATAAATAGCAGTGCTGTGGGATAATGCACAGGCCTGCAAGGTCAGTTTGACTGCAAGGCCAGTGGTTCAAATTTACCAGCTGCTCCTTGGAAACCCTATACAGGGTTGCTATGAGTCGGAATTGACTCCAAAGCACTTAACAAAAACAACATATTTATAAATAGTTTTTTATATAACCTATACAAATAGGTTCCTTTTTTGTATCCAAATACGTGTCTTGACAATCTTTCCACATTAGCATATACAGATCTTCTCATTCTTTTAAACTTTGCCCAGTATTATGTTGCTGTTGTTTTTAACTTTTATTGAGTCAGTCCTTGACTCATGGCAATCTCATGCACAACAGAATCAGACCATTGTGATCCATGGAGTTTTCATAGGCTGATTTTTCTAAAGTAGATTGCAAGGCCTTTCTACTTGTCTTAGTTCAGAAACACAGCTGAAACCTGTTCAGCATCATAGCAAAACATGAACCTCCACTGACAAATGCATGGCAACTATGCATGAAGTGCATTGGCTGGGAATCAAATCCAGGTCTCTCACATGGAAGGCAAGAATTCTATGACTCAACACCAATGTTCCTCATAATCTATGTTATTGAAGTGCCATCAGTTTTTACCCTTTCACTCATCATGGGTAGGGATTTTTGGCCTGTTTGTAAAAATTCTGTCTACTTTGGGGATTCTTGGGTGGCACAAGCACTTTGTGATTGAATTCTGACTGAAAAGTTAGTGGTTTAAACCCACCCAGCAGCACTGTGGAAGAAAGGTCTGATGATCTGCTTCCGTAAAGATCAGAGCCAAGAAAACCCTAGGAAGATCAGTTAACCTTGGGTCACCATGAATCACAATGGACTCAATGGCAATGGGTTCTCCTTCTATGAACTCACCAACTACTGTGTGAAGAAGGGCAAACTTCTGGAAAGGGAAGACTTGAAGGTCAGAGAGACTTCACTACTTACCATCTCTGTGACCATAGACAAGCTAATTAATGTATCTGAACATAATTTCTTCCTCTATAAAAAGTAGGTCATGATATCTACTTTGCACTCCTGGTGTGACGCTATAGGATCAGCACTGGACTTCTAGCAAGGTCAGCAGTTGAAACCCACCAGTTGCTCCTCAGAAACCCTATATAGGGTCCTATGAGTCAGAACTAACTCGCTAGCACTTAACAACAACAACAATAGTTGTAAAGATCAAATGTAATAGTACAGGGAAAATGCCTGCCACCAGGCAGGGATCATTAAATATAAGCTTCCTTCTCCAGATTTCCATAGTGTCAAGGTGTCTGTTCACCCTCACAGACTCCCAACCCCTCTCTCGGTGTCTCTTCCACATTCTGGACCTTCCTTTGTTTATATATGTGTGAACATAAGTACATGTGTGTTATGCCACAAAAGTATCCTCCCCTGACAAGGCTATGTTCATTCTGATGTTGTGGGGACACATCTTGGGATCTCTGCCATCCAGAACTGGGTACATGATTTGGGGGCGCTAGTGTAAAATGAAAATACAGGTCTCTTTTTCAAAATTATTAAGAATTTTAGGATAACAATAGAAGAGCATTAAACCAAGTGAAAGCAGGACACTGACAGCACAAATTGCATGCCCAAAAGACTGGCTCTTCTCTCCTGTACCTTATTCCTGGCCACATGGTCTTGACACTCTTATTCAGTTTCCATTTCACAGAATGACTAAATGGGATTTATACCAGGAATGCAAGATTAGTTTAAGATCCAAAAGTCAATTAATAAAAAAAAAAAAAAAGTAAATTAATATAATGTTGTTAAGTGCTGTCAAGTCGATTCTGTCTCATAGTGACCCTGTATAGGGTTTCTGAGGAACAGCTAGTGAATTTGAACTGTCGACCTTGTGGTTCAAACCAACCTTGTGGTCAAGTGCTTATCCTATAGCACCACACCAAGACTCAATTAATTCATAGTTCATATTAATAGAATAAAAGTTCACACTACCATGGCCCAAACACAACTGAATATACACCCCTCCCTCAACTGGAGGCTGGTCCTGTCTTAGATACAGTTTTAATACAGGAGAGGAATAGTAGGTTCCAAGAATGAACAGCAATAAAAGATGTATATGAAAAAAACTTTAAAATGGAGAAAATCCTATCATTTGTTTTCTTGAAATACTGGGGAAAGATCATCATTATCCAATTCTGGGGTTCCTTAGCCCATACTAAGGTATATCTGGAAGTATGTGGGAGCATGCTAAGTCCTTTGGGAGTTCAAGGAGAACCCTACTGAGAAGACACAGTATGGGAAGAGGAATAGAATAGTATGCACCCCCTAGAGGCAGGAGATTTCCCTGAATAGGGAGTTTCAGACCAGGAGCAGCAGCCTGTTGTTGTTAAGTGCCATCAAGTCAGTTCTGACTCATAGCGACTCTTATAGGGTTTCCAAGGAGCAGCTGGTGGGTTTGAACTTCCAACCTTTTGGCTGGCAGTCCAGTGCTTATTCAACAGTGCCATACCAGGCTTTTGGCTCTTGTAAAAAAAATTCCCTTCACACAGGCAGATATCTCACCTGCCGGCAGACCCGGGACTTCTCCAAGAGAAATTGTTCAATCCGTGCACCTTCAATCACTCCATTTGCATTGAAGTAGATATCGATGTACTTTCCAAAGCGGCTCGAGTTGTCATTGTGGACTGTCTTGGCATTTCCAAAGGCTGGTGGAGAGAAGCCATGCCCATAATGAGCAGAGAGGAGAATATTTATTTTTGCTGTGGCCAGCTAGAAAGAGTTCTAAATAAGGAGGCAGCTGAATACAGAATTTAGGATAGGTAAGATGTCAGCAAACAGCTATGGCAGCTAAGGAAATGTTTACAAGGAACACAAAGGGTAGATAAATGTTTGGAGGTCAAAAGTATGACATAAGCCTGCAAATGGAAAAATATAGTGGAAGCTTAGGATACAAGAAGAAAGCAGAATAAGATAGAAATAATTAGACCATATGTTGTTATGAAACAAATCTCTATAATTCAAAAACTTGAAATGGTATAAAGTATGTTCTCTGATTACAGTTGAATGAAATTAAAAATCAATAACAGAAAAAATTGGGAAACTCACAAATACATGGAAATTAAACAACGCATTCCTAAATAACCTTTGAGTCAAAGGAGAAATCAAAATGAAAATCAGAAAACACTTGGAAATGAATGAAAATGAAGACAGAATATACTAAAATTTATGAGATTAAATTAAAGCAGCACTTAGAAGGACATTATATCTATAAAAGCCTGTATTGATTTAAAAAACAACTGAAATAACAATAACATTCTAAACCTAAAGTGTACAAAAAGAAATAGTTAACATTAGAGCAGAAACTAGTAAAATTAAAGAATAGAAAAACAATTAAGAAAACACAGCGAAACCAAAAGCCAATTCTTTGTAAAGAATACTAAAAACCTTGGCAAACATTTAGCTAGCTTGATAAAGATAAAAAGAAAAGAGTTCTGATCAGCAAGCCATCCAAGCTAGGTCAAATGGGTACTAGCTAAAAGTTTGAGTGTTCTTGCACAATTCCCCTCACTTCAGATCAGCTCGCTGCTTCACTTAACTTTAGCCCCCTGTGACTAGGTCAATATCCATGGGCTCAGGAGTTTCCAAATTTCCCTAAACATCAGACCAACCTTCTTCTTCTCTCTCTCATCTAAAGGTTAACAGGTGTCTATGGAAAATGGTTGAACTTAGTTCATGTCTCATTTCTAATTTCTACCACTTCCACTCACAAGTTGACCAGGCTGTTCACCAGTGAGCTTAAAAACCTGTTCTTGTGTTCCTTTTGAGTTTCAATCTTGGAAGGGAGTTTATCCTGATGGGCTGATTTTTTTAAAAACCTTGATGGCTCGAAGGCAAATAGCTTGCTTGATATTGTCACAGCCATAAAGGAAATTTTTCTTTTAGTATGGAAAATCTTTTCTTAAACTTTTACAATAATTGTCTTACACAATATTTGTCCTTTTGTGACTGACTAATTTCATTCATGGGAGAAAGATGAGGCTTTCTACTCCTGTCAAGATTTATAGCCTTGGAAACCTTGTACAGGGTCACTATGGGTCGGAATCGACTCGATGGCACTTAACAACAACAACAACAATTTCATTCAGCGTAACATTCTCAAGATTCATCCATGTTATGAGTTACTTTGCAGCTTCATGGTTATACTGTGAGGTAGCATAGTATTCCATTGTGTATATGTACCAAAGTTTGTTTATCCATTCTTCCATTGTTGGGTTCTTAGGCTGTCTCCATCTTTTTGGTATTGTGAATAGTCCTGCAATAAACATTGGTGTGCATATACTACTCATGTTCTGGCTTGGATTTCTTGAGGTTATGTACCTAGTAAAGGAATTGCATGATCATAAGGTATTTCTGTTTCCAACTTGCTGATGGTTACTATCTTCACTTTAGATTTTTCTTCTGTTTCTCCTCCCCCATTCTTCTTTCTTTTTGTTGCTTTTGACTTTTATTTGCTACCTTCTGGACTCTTTCTCTTTTCAACTTTGTCTCCCTAATTGTGCTTTTCCTTTCTTTTTATTTTCTCTTCCATTGATTTATTTTCCTTTCCCTCTTTTCTCTTTCTGGTTATTGCATTCTTTATTCTTGATGGTGCCAGTTTCCCCTCCCCCACTTTTTATTATTTTCCTTTTTTGCTATTGTCTGCTTTTTTCCTTGTGTGTATGTTTTCTCTTCTTGCCAAACCCAATATGGGAAAGCAACCATGCTCATGCAACCTAGCCACAGCCACAATCATATCCATTGAAGCCCCACAAACTGGGCAAGAGCCAATACCATCTCCTATGTAACTTGATCAATGATAGACAGTGGCCAACACCAGTCAAACCCACCTTAAACTAAGCTACACAAACAGCAAACAAAGAAAGGTGCACACTCTTCCATTCCCTAACCATACTTATCACAGTAAGTGAGTGACTATGAACACATCAACATAAATCACCAATTAAATATAATGACACCACATTGTCTCAGAGGCAACAAGCAATTTCGGGTCACATGAATAAACAAGACAGAGTGGTTCAAATAAATGAACAAAATGAGAGGCCAGAAAATATTTCTAAGAAAGAAAAAGCATTGGAACTACCTGAAAAAGAATTCAAAAGAATGATATTTAGGTATTTTCAAATGACTGATTTAAGGATCAAGTAAACCAAGGAGAACACAGAAAATACTTTGGAAGAATTCAGGAAAACACTATAGGAAAAAACTGACAAAACTGATTAGACATCGGAGACATATAAAACTGCAAATAGAAATATAGAAGATTGATACTAAGATTTCAGAAACAAGTAATACATTGAAAAGGCAAAGGAGTAAATCTGAGTCAAAGGAAGTCCAAATATGTAAGCTTGAAGATAAATCTCTGAATCTCTCAATACTAGTATGCTAGAAGAGCAATCAGTAAAAGAAGGAAAAAATATAAAGAAAGCCTAAGATTTATGTGGGACACCAATGAAATAATAACTTATAGGTGACTGGGATTCCAAAACAAGAAGAGGCAAAGAAAAGAACAGAAAAAATTGTCAGATTTGTTGGAAGACAAATTCCCTAACATCATGAAAGACTAGAAAATACACATTCAAGAAACTGAATGATCCCCAAATGGAATCGACATGCCAAGCCATATCATAATCAAACTCCAAAAGCAAAAGCCAAGGAGAGAATCCAGAGAGCAGTTCAGGAAAAAGAAAGGTTAAGGAGAACTTCTAAGTTCTAAGGAGAACCAATAAGACTAAGCTCTTATTTTTCAGCATAAGCCATGCAAGAAGGAATTGAGAAGACGCATGCAAAACTTTGGCAGAAAAAAATTAAAACCAAGAATCATATATCCAGGAAAACCATCCCTCAAATATGAAAGTGAAATTAGTACATTTCCAGATAAACAAAAATTAACTTGTAATAACCAGACCAACATTACAAAAATTGCTAAAGTTCTTTAGCGTGAGAACCAACAACTGCAGCCAACAACCTGAGGTTAGCATATATAACAAAACCACACAGAACTCAATCCAGATACAGAAGTATCCAAAGTAAACAAACCTGAAGTCTTGAAATAGGAAACCAGAGATATCAATTTACAATGAAGGCAACTACAATGGAGTAAAAGGGGAAAGTATAGTTACAGAACTTCCATTTGGGAGTCATGATTGACTCACCCTGGCTTCCAGAGGCGGGTTAATAAATCCAGCAAAAGTCCAGGGTCCTGGGAGAACAAACAAGATAGAGGATCGGGTGGATGTGTAGTAAAGGAGCTCCACCAACAACAACACAGAATCTCTGACCAAGCAGGCTCAGGGGATGGTCCCAGAACTCTGAACCACATATAAAGGAATATTTAGAAGCTTGGAAGGCTTACAGCTGGGGGAATTTGTGGCAGAAGCAAGAAATCTATTGCTTTCTAGTCCGGGACGCTCAGCTGCCCCAGGAGCCGCCATCTTGGGTGAGACCAAGTGAGAGGAGGATCGGAGGGGCTACAGATGCCTGGCAGAATGGCTGAGATAAAAGTGTGGACATTATTTTCTTTTGGTCGCTGTTCATTGGTCCCTTGCTGTCTGCGCACCTCCATTCTGGTGACTACAGGGGTGCCTAAGCTAGTGGGCACCCCAGCCCCACCCTTGGAGGGTTCTACTATGCATGCACACAGATCTCCTAGATATTTAAAGAGACAGTCTCCAATGAAAACCAAATGGCCACAGCCAGCACTGAACTGCTTCCAATTAGAAAAAAAGGCCTGAATGGGGATTGTGGAGTGGGACAAACAGACAAAAGAGGAAATAGGCTGAAAATTAAATCCTAAGTTACATCAAAACAACCAACAGTGGTATCTTGAAATTTCTCAGGAAGAAGAGTGAAAAGGGAAGCCCATTTCCTGATCACATCTACCTGGAGGCA